GGAGGAAGGGAGGAAGGGAGGAAGGGAGGAAGGGAGGAAGGGAGGAAGGGAGGAAGGGAGGAAGGGAGGAAGGGAGGAAGGGAGGAAGGGAGGCAGGGAGGCAGGGAGGCAGGGAGGCAGGGAGGCAGGGAGGCAGGGAGGCAGGGAGGCAGGGAGGCAGGGAGGCAGGGAGGCAGGGAGGCAGGGAGGCAGGGAGGCGGGCAGGCGGGCAGGCGGGCAGGCGGGCAGGCGGGCAGGCGGACAGGCGGACAGGCGGGCAGGCGGGCAGGCGGGCAGGCGGGCAGGCGGGCAGGCGGGCAGGCGGGCAGGCGGGCAGGCAGGCAGGCAGGCAGGCAGGACCGCACGGCGACCAGCCGGGACAGGCGCTGGTCGAGGCGGATCGGCGCCGAAGCACGGAATCAGGCGAAAGGCCCCGCCCTGCAGGTTCGGTAACAGCACATCGTTGAGCGGTGCTGCAGCCTCCCCTGAGCACAGGACTTCCCCAGAGCATCAGCCAGACAAGTCGGGTTGCACCCTCATGCCTTGCTGGACTCTGGGCGCGTTTCGGTACCCTCTCCCCCAACCTCGTAAGGGCCACCGACAAGGGAGAGGGCGGTGGTGGCCGACGCGTCCCAAAGCTAAGCCGAAGCAAAGCAGCCCCCTGGCGGGTGTCCAATGCCAGGGGAACCCGACGACGACGACAAGACAAGACAAGAGGGGAAGGCAGGACCGCTCGGCGACCTTCCGGGACAGGCGCTGGTCGAGGCGGATCCGCGCCGAAGCACGGAATCTAGGGGAAGGCCCCGCCCTGCAGGTTCGGTAACAGCACATCGTTGAGCGGTGCTGCAGTCCAGGGTTAGGGTTTACACAACGTATTAGTGTTTACCGTTGTCGCGGAATTGGCCTGCGCTATCGCCGAGAGCGCTTCCGTGCGTGCCCGCTCGAAGATCGCGCCCCCTCTCCCCCGCGGCAGCTATCCCAGACGTCCCAGAAGCGCCCGTTGCGCGCCTTTCGCGCGTGCCCGCTCGCATGCTCGCATGCGGCGCACTCCGCGCTCGGGCTCCAACCGCGGAGCCTCTCCGGGCTCGCCCCGAGACCGCCCTGGGCCAGGACCTCCCCGGTCCTCTCCCGGGACCACCCCCGGACACCCCGGGACCCCCTGGGGCTCGCCCGGGGAGAGCCCCCGGCCGGGACCTCCCTGGCACTCTCTTGGGACCACCCCCGGACACCCTAGGACCCCCTGGGGCTCGCCCCGTGACAGCCCCGGGCCGGGACCTCCCCGGCACTCTCCTGGGACCACCCCCGGACACCCCGGAACCCCTGGGACGAAACACCCACGAAGGGCGTTCCGGAAGGCCCCGGGAAGCGCGCGGGCAGCGCGGCTCATGCCTCCACCACCCTCACCATCAAAAATTCTTGACGCTTCGCGTAACCCCACCAGAAATCACGGTCAGAGACTCCCCGCTCCCCCGCCGCCGACTCTGCCCAATAACTTTACGAGCTCACGTTCGACGGAGGAGCTCGTCGGATCGGAAAAGGAGACAAGGTCTCTGGGGCGGCGGCTGTTCTCTGGCGACATGACCCACGCCGTGGCTACCCGCGCGTCGTGGCGGTCGCTGTGGTGGCCCTCCCAGGCTGTGACAATGCGCAGACTGCCGAGGCCTCGGGGTGCAGAGCCGGTCTCGCCCTGCTCCCACACGTTGAAGGCGCGCTCCGGGGCGCCAGGGTGGTCGGGGACAACCTTGCCGCTATACGATACGGGGCCGGCACAGGCCGCTATCGGCGGCTCCACCTCGCACAACAGATGGACTTTGCCCTTAGGCAGGCCGGCGATTCGGGATGGGCCCTCGCAGGCAGTGCGACGACGGCTCAATAAAGCGGCTGGCCGCCTAGCCACGTTAGGGGTCTTTTGGGCCAGCGCCCTCAACCGCGCTGGTGATCACACGGTCACCACCTGGGTTGTGTGGGAAAACACCGATCGCCCCACTCCCCCTCTCTTCCCCGCTGCGGGGATTGACCTCTGCGACTTGGACCAGGTCGCCCAGGCTGCGGACGCTCTCGAAAATCTCCCTCGTCCTCATCTCCCCTGATCGCTCCCGATCCGGCGCACTAAGGTCAATGCAGCTTGCAGCCTTCAGCTGCCTCGCTGTGTTTTACTGGACGCTCCCTGGGTCTTCTCGGCACACGATGGGGCCTAGGAACAATCAAGGTCCCGCCCGTCGCTGGCCCTCGTGCCTGCCACACAGTGAGGACGGCCCGCCAGTCAGGCTGGGCTCTCGTGTCTTCCTTGCTCGGTACTGTGCCTGGATGCGTTGGGCCTTCTTCAACGGTGGTTGGCGCTACTGGTGCGAGATCTGCCAGGGGCCGGTGGACGACACTGAGCACATCCTGAGCGACAAGCACTACGACATGTCGCTGAGGCGCTACAACGACGGGTGGCCGGACCCAAGCACCTTTGTCTCCCCCGGGAACCTGTGGTGCATGTGCTGGAACGACCTGGGACGAAGTGCACCGTGTGCATATCGAGCGGAGGGCGTGGCTAGGCTGGAAGCCCGTGCAACCCTTTGTATCCCACGACGGCGCCCGCTCACTCCCTGGTCTGGTGATTCCGGAAGACGCGCTGCACGTGCCCGTCAT